ATGGTGAGGGTTCACGTCTTTAATGATCCTTGTGGTGAAGATGGTATCAGTTCTGTGTGCCTACGTGCTTACGGCTGTTTGGCAGCAGAGCGACGCCCCTCCCTAACATCAGCAGCCACATAACATGGAATCCCTTCATCTCCAAATCTGCTGTGCTCTCCATAAGTGATGAATCCAGCCTGGCATAGTATACATTCTTTCAAGGAAATTGGGAATTAAATTTAAGCAGAGGATTTCTTTCTTTTAGAAACGGTGGTGGTTTGGCTTGTGTGGTCACGGTGATAGCATCTTGGTTTGCCTGTGCAATTACAATCATTTAGGGTATGTGAACTTTGGAGACCTAATGAAGGAAATTGACCTCGTTCCAACCACATTTCAATGTAAGCAGGATTATAGGACTGCAGAGCCCACACACGTTTGAATTGTAAAGACAATTAAATTACCGCCCCAACTTTTTGTCGTGAATTTAATCTGCTGTAATGGAGGCCACGTTCACCAAGGGATAATGGTGAAGTGCTTGGGATGCAAAAGGTCAAAGTATCAAGCAGCCAAAAATGTGACCCATGTGGTGCAGTGGTCTTGGCATCCCAATGCTGATGAATAACTCTCATCACTCATGCTTCAGCGTGCATGCTTCAAATTTCTTCCTTCTGCTCTGCTTCCACTATTGAAAAGGTAGTGCTGAAATCTTTAAACCCTTGCGTAGCAGCTGTACTTACCTTGCCGCAACTGTGGCTAAATTTCATCCTTCCTGAACCACCCGAGGGTTCCTGGATGTTCACGATGCTCTGGCATGGCCACTGATTTAATCCTAACCGGACATGCTTAATAGGCCTACAACATAACTTTCTAACTACATAATCTACCATACACAATGCGGTAAAAAATTACATGATGCAAGTTAAATTGGCACAATCGATCTATTTCAAGTGGCACTCATGGACTTCGACGTCGGATGCACATTCGGCGTGGTGAATAAAATGTAGTGTTCAGTTTGCGTTTATAATTTGGTTTAAAAAAAAAGTCCCGCTTTGGAATGTTCCTTTTTACTTTTGAGCACGCAGTGCAAGAGCTGGAATGTGGCCAAAATGTGCGAGCCCTTTGAAAGTCCACGTCCTTTGATGTGAGATTGGTCGAGGGACCATAATAAATGATGATCATCAATTGCAACGGTTAGTGCTGACGTTGTTTTCCACGGTGCCGTTTAATAAAATACAGCAGTAAAATTGACGGCGGGTTCGCTATGATGCGTCTGCACCCCTCTGTGTGGGTGACCCGTGCCGCTTTCGCGAGTTACATCGGTGGCGCGGGGTCGGCAGCAACTTTTGTGCAAGTGGTGACAACTACAAACCGACGACAAGATGGTTAAAAAGGTGAGAACGCTGGATGCATACCACCAATACTTTACAGCATTTGGTTTTGAGATTGGGGAAGGCATTCCTTTCACCGACAGCTGGAGAGCGCAACTGTGCATTCTTGCAGAGTATTTTGGGCAACGAGAAAACCCATTACAACTTTATATGGTGGTGGTGGCGGCAGCAGTGATGGTGGCAAGTGGATGGAGCAGACGGAGATGTGTATCCCGTGGCGGTGTGAGGGTGGGTGACGACAAGAGGCATGGGAGGGTTGGTGGGGGGGGGTCGATGGGGTGGAGGGAGTTAAATTCACGGCTGCTGCGAGTGCAACAACACGGTGTGAGGAACCACGTGGAGCTCCCCGCTTGAGGGGGACCCCATAAGTATTTTCATACAAAGTGTGACGCCTTTTGCGTCCTCTGGTCGAACACCGCTTGGGACTCGGCTCAAAAGAAAGCTGTCGCTGGTGTGGACCAATCGGTTTCAAAGACAATGCATGTATTATCAGAGTTTTTTGGTTTGCGTTCTGACCACAAGTTTTTTTATTGCCAGAAAAAAGGGGAAACCTTTACACCATTGGAACCTCATTTGCCAGTGAAAAATATGATAATTGTTTTTTTACCCTTCTATCTGGCAACAAAACTGACACCTTTTTTACAAGGAGTCATGTTTGCATAGACCACAATACCTGCAGTCATAATGCAAAAAAAAACACAACTCAGATAACGCCAAAATATATATCTCGTACTCTGATGGTGCATTGTCTTTGAGTTGTGCGCCTTTTGGCGTCATCTGGTCCAACCTATGTAAGACTAGGCTCTAAGGAAAGCTGTCTCGGGTGTGGACCAATCAACTTCAAGGACAGTGCATACATTATCAAGAGTTGTGTTTTTTGTTTGCATTATGACTGCCGGTATTGTGGTCTATGCAAACATGACTCCTTGTAAAAGGTGTCCGTAGCCAGTTTAAAGGGAAGCATTTCCCCTTAAACTGGCTGCTTTTGTTTTGTAAAATTGCAATTACAAGTGATTGGTCGTCATGACCAATGTCTTCAAAGATTTATAAAAATGTTTTGGCCATGCGGCGCATCGGGGGGGGAGGGGGGGGGGTGATTTGACATACTTAAAGATATGCTGGCATGTGGGTTGGAAGAGGCATAGATCCGAGAGCATATAAATACAGTATAATAATTAACTTTCCTACCAATGCTTTTCTAAGTGTACATACACCAAGGTCTGGGCAGTGTCGATGGGAAGGACTTCTCGAGTTTAACTTCGATGCTGTGTCGCACCAATGCTGGAATAAGCTGGTTATATACAGTCCACTTGAATTTTATGTACTGCGTTTGGAGGTTGAGGCGTGCGCATGGTGGTGGTGGTGGTAGCTGCGGCACAGCTGCCGTGGCTGGGAGTGCCCGGCACGCTGGCCCCGGGCTTTGCGCTCGCTCAGCGTTTGAGTGCTTGCACAGCTGCGTTGTGCCGTGGCCTCGGCCGTGCCCTGTGCCGCCTCCGACCTCGCAGCTGGGCTCTGATCCTCGTGTGCAACCAACAGTGATACCTGCAAAGTGTTACGCGGAATAATATTGTTACTCCTTTTCAGCAAAGGGTGGGTGGGTGGCATATTCCTCCCTTGAAGTGAAACGTGATGTGGTTTTAATTTACGATTTTGTAATACCACAACTTTGGACGTAGGTTAAATTTTTTACAATTTTTTTTTTCCAAAGGTGTGGTTACCACACTGCATTATAAACTCTGTAATCTGAGCGTCATTCCTGGCTGTGGCTAACGTGTGAGGAGGTGGCGAGGGATACCTGAACCAGTTGAGGGGGGGGGGGGCACCTTTTTACCAACCCCAGCACTCGGTTTCGTGAAGTATAATAAAACCACCTGTGCCATGGATAGACATTCATCTGTTGGTGTCCATTATGAGCCACACATATTAAACGCGGTCGAATGGTGACCAACATTAAGATTAATCAATTTCTGACTAAACTGAAATATCACAAAGATTGTCCAAATTTTGTTTTAAACAAGCAAGACAATACATTCAACGGCTGTGGCTAAAGAAAGGCAGAGGCTTGGCAGTGCCCTTGCTCTGTCATGCTTGGTAGGTGCTTGTCCGATATGTTGCCATTATAACATTTCTCTCGGCCAGGACATCCGTTTATTTGCTTACTGTTTGGCCATAAAATTGACCTTTGATAAACCAGCTTGGGTAAGCTACTTGCACTACATAAAAACAGGTGCCTTGTCTGTAACTGTATACTTAAAGCCCACCGATCGATATATTTTAATTGGTTCTGCTCCACAGTGCTGTTCATCTCGTGATTGTATGTGTTTGGTCAAGGCGAACCTTGCCAATAATGCTGTGTTTGCAGGAGCGCATGGTTTATGATTATGACATTTACAGACCCACAGCTGTCCCCCAGAAAAAAAAATCCCAGTCTGATTGTCTGGTGATGGAGCCTGGTGAAAAGGGCGCTCCAACGTCTGGGGGAGATCTCTCCGCATGGCTCTGCTTGCGAACCTCCAGCCTTGATCAAAGTTCTGTCCGTGGGTGTTTCGGCAGAGTGGTTGTGCTGCTACTGCTAACCAGGGTGTGCCATGCAGTCGTTTTTTTAGGTGAACAAAGCAGAACCAGGGTGTGTACCTTGCACTGATGGTACAGGTGGGTTGAGCCAACGAAGTGCAGTTGCTTATTTTGTGTTGGTGATACACTGGGGGGGGGGGGGGGGGAATGATTGTAGAGGAAGATAGAAAAAAAATCTGAAGGTCGGGGACATTACTACGGAATGAGATTGCATGGGGGGAACACGTAATTAAATGGAAAGCGAAAAGGGGAAATGTTTAGCCCCATGTGTGCGTTCAGCTGATTGGGACAAATTGCCAGTTGGTGTGAGCAGGGCAACAGGAGAGAGCGCCTGCCTCGGGGCGTTGTGAGCAGCCTGGTGTCTGGTGATTTCTGCAGCGTTGCCGCAGGAGAGGTCTTAAATAATCATTGGGAGGATTCATTGTGGCGGTGCCGAATGCAACAGCTGCAGTTAACGGGGATCTGCCCAGCGATAGGAGGGATTTCAGCTCGCAACATTCCTGCGTGTCTGCGCAAGACGTTTTCAGAAAACACAATTCATCAATGTGATGCATGTCCCACATTCAAACCAAAGTTTGTAAAAACAAAAAAATTGTCCTCTGGTTTTCCCCCCCCCCATGGTGCGGGTATAGTTGTCGTCCCAAACTTAAATTAAGAGCCGGTATTTGTATGCCGAGAGGTTTTTAAATGGAGTCTATACCGAGGGATTTGATTGCCACCTGTATAGTACTTATCTGCATTTGGCGTTCATGCGAAAAAAACTTGTCAGCCGTCAAGCTAATGAGGTAGTCATAGTTGTAGCCCGATGTCTGCGTGTGAAACAAAACCCCAGGGTCCGTTAACCGTTTATTGAGTTGTTTAACGTGCAATGGCCATGATGATCGATCTGGAGCAAACCGGTTTAACAGGATGACGAATGTCACGGATTGGTGGGGGAGAGGGGTGAGCAAGCGCGACATAACCCTTCAAGCCCTGCCCTCTCCCACACGCCCTCCTGCCTCCCCCCCCCAGGCCCCATCTGTTGTTTGGGCTTGCCACTGATGTAATGAGACCCCCTGCCAGCGCTCTCTTTTGTTGGCTCACTTAATCCCCATTTGCTGGCTGGACAGAGCCCCCTTTCTTAGCTGTGTCCCTCTCTCACTTGGGTGGAGGGGGGGAGGAAAGAGGCGGGTGTTGGTGGATTTCTTAGCCGTTGCCTCCTCGCTCACTCGGTCTCACATCTCCGGTCCTGAGGTCGGGCAACGCGACAGCTCTGCTCATCTTCACCCAGACCATGCTCGGCATCAACTATGTAACAGGTACTGTAGGCGGATTTGTGGCTTTTATCCGTGCTTCGCAATTGCACTTTGGATGAAGTATTGCTACTTAAGTTTCGGCTATTGTCAAGTGGTGACGAAGTATTTGTTTTAAAAGCAAAATAGTAATTCTAGATTTGAAGCTTTCGTGACTGCAAGGGATTCCTACTCTTAGGTTTTTTTTCGGTAAAGTCATAAATATATTTATGTATTTCACGTGACTTTACCGAAAAAACTTAAGAGTAAAAATAGTAATTCTGGTAATTTTTTAGTGGCTGTGTCGTCAGACTTGTTACACTTAAGCCACTTTTATTTTATTGGTTACGTTTTGGAACAGACTGCCAGGCCCAGAGTTTAAAACTGTTTTACTGCGTCTGTAGATAGGCTTTTCCGTACATTGGAATGATAATGGATGGATAACATTGTCATGGGCTTATCACATTCGTCTTTAGTAACCAATATCCATTGTTAAAACTTGAGCAGTTGTGTATCTGTCGAGTGGGTACACACAATTAGAAACGGCAATCTGAAAATGCATTTAAAATGCAGTTGCTAATCATTTGGAGCCGAGCTGTGAAAAAACCTGTGTAAAATAACGTTTTAATAATTTTCTCCAGCGTTCTCCAAAAGGACAGCCTCCATGAACGTAAAGGCGTGGCTCTTGAACGCACAAGTAGCGTCAGTGTTTGCGTTGGGCTTATTTTAAAGTGGGATGCAGCATGTGTTCTGCTGTAGGCAGGCGAACAGCTGCTCTTAAGTAGGCAGAATGCTAAGCCACTTAGTCCTCTAACACTGCTTGCCTTTTTTGTGTATATTATTCTCAGGAGGAGAGTGGGATGAATTTGCCACTTGTAGTAAAAAGTCCTGCGTTTTTATATGCCGAGTTTAAATTATTGTACCCTTTTTAGTTCATTCCGTGTTTAAAGCCCCATTAAAAAACTACTGGACAAACCTCTTTGGCTAGTTAAACGTATATCTAACGAGACCTGTGGTTTAGAATTGTCGTTATAGTCGAATCGGTTTTTGATGTAAAAGTGAAAGGTTTGATTTGGAATCTCTTTTAAAGCGCTTTGGCGGTTGATTCTGACTAGAAGCTTCTATTGTTTAGTAAAGCTTGGGTGCGGTTGCTGAAAAGCTTCCCTTACAGAGTTCCTGCCTTTTTCATTGGATGCTTCCTGTATGTTTGTCCCCAGTTTCTTGCACCCAGTATCGCATATATAGTCTTAAGGATTTCTTTTTCACTGCTATTATTTATGCTCCTTGCAAAAATTCATACAAATAAGGGTTTATATTTACACTTCATATAAGCATGATTGTAATTTGAAGACATGGAGCTTTTTACTACTTGCACAAGTTGTCTTATTGCTCAATGTCTAGGGCTCCAATCATTTGAGAGCATTTTAATCGGACTTTTAAATAAGAAGAGTTGAGCCTTGGTATTGTGCTGTTTTTCAGTGCGTCTCAATGTGCCGTATTGTAAGCAGAAGCTATTAACACTTGGAATGTGGCATTATTCTGGCAGGGCACATGGCTGCACTCGAACCCAATTTAAATGCGTTGTGACCACTGGGGTCATCACAGCGTGCGCTCACAGTGGTGCATTGTGACTAATATCAATCGTGTGTGGAACTAATGTCGCCACACAAAACCATGGCGTGGTCCCTGGAATGTTCGGCTCTTGTTTAAAACATTGCAAAACACTTGGGCCCCTGTTCGGTCGCATGTGTCTAAGAACGCAAGCGATGCATGCTTTTGTTTTGGCAAGAGCAATGCTGATAGCATATTCTGTAATGTGACTGACACACAGTGCAAGAATGCAATTGGAGCATGAGTAACATCCTGCAACAGTGCTGCCTTGTTGGCACGCCCAAGAATCTGGACAAAAAGAATTCTGGGAAAGGGGCCTCTTCTAATGGTGTTTTGTGGCTTTTTATTCGACAGCATCCTTGGATTGCATGAGTATTAATTCGCTACTTTTTTTATCAGTGGAACTGGAGCGTTCGCTGCATGTTTATTTAAGCAAATTGGTCCGAATGTAGTCTTTTTGTATCGAGCCTGGAGATCTGTGAAGCTGGTGTTTGCATTTGGTATTGTGCCAAATAAATGAGCTCATTGATGTGTGCTCTGGAGTTTGAATGGGGGCGGGGTGTGACACCTGCAAGATGGAGCCACACTTGCAATAAAGCCCACTGCTCTGCTGCAGATGGCTTAACGGGCACTGGCACATACTGGGTCTTGTCATTGGATTAATGGATAAACAGAGCGACGGAATCTGAATGCAAATGCTTTGAAGGCATTATAACTATCTTTTTGAGATAAACCTGTTTCACTGCCATGTAAATGTTTAGCTTTAACAACACCATCTGGTGTTTAGATAGAATTGCAATCTTTGTCAACACTTGCACCTAGTTTTATATGAAGTTAATGTATTTTTAACAATTGTAAAAAAATCTGAGCATAATGCCAGTGTACGGAATATTGACAATGCCACATGTTTGTCTTTCCACAGTGGGTCAAGGGGACACAGCAACCATGGCAGAGACAGACTCTGGAGCACCCGAACAAGCAGCAATGTCAGAGGTGCCTCCGGGACAGACGAACGAAGCGGAAAAAGGCAACGGCGACTCCGATGCTCCCCCGGCAGCACAGGAAGGCGAGGTTACGCAAGCTGCAGAGCAGACCACTTCGTCCAGTGCCGCCCCGCAGAGAGACCTGGGCTTCAAGAAGGTTTTCAAACTGGGAGGCTTCAAGTTCACGCTGAAGAAAGATCGCGAAGAGCCGCCCGAGTCGGTGACTCTGCTCACCATGAAGGATACTGACGGTGAGGGCAATGGTGACTTTAATGGGAAGGTGGAAGAGGCCCAGAGCAAGCAGCAGGTTGTTGAGAATGGCGCAGATGTCGCCGCTGTCAAGGACCCTGAGCAAAAATCGGGTGAGGAGGCTGCGGCAAGCTCTAACGAGAATGACACTGATGACCAAAAGGGAGTCCATGAAAATGGCACAAAGGAGAGTGCTGAGGAAGCTGTGGCGAGTGAATCTCCTGTGGGGGGCTTCACAGCTCATGTGACCACGCCTTTGAGGAAAATGTTCAACAACAGACTCTTTTCTGGTCTGAGGAGAAAATCCAGCAAGGCTGAGAAGGATGACAAAAACCATCAACTTGGAAACGAACTCCTAGTCGACTCGAATCCTGAGCCGGTAAATGCAGAGCATGCAGTGGAGGTGAATAATTTGCTACCACAGGCTGAAGAAAAGCAGTCTTGTGCTGGAGCGCTGCCGTCAGAAAAGTCTGCAGATGCCACCAAAGTGACAGAGGCACTCCAAAAGCAAACCACAGATATTAACGATGTGGAGGTGGTGCAAGAAGAGGCAGCGATAGCCATTGTGAAAAATGAGCAGTCGATAGCTGTATTAGAACAGAAAGATGAGATGTGCAGTCAGGAAATAAAGTTGAACGAGGCACCAAAACAAGAAAATGGCAATAGCGAGCAAGTGGAATGCTCCGCCACTGCAGAGAATTCTCATCCTATAGAACAGGAAGCAGGTGTAGTGGAAAATTCAGCTCCGTCAGCGAATAGTGAATTGATGCAAGATAAAGTTGACACATGTGCAGATCCCAACGTAAGCCCTGACGACTTGACGGTTCAGACCTCAAAGACTGAGGAAACGGAACAGGATGTAACATCACCTGATAAGTCTAAGACACCAAGCAGTCCGTTAAAGAAGTTTTTCATGGGAAGTTCGCTAAAGAAATTGTCTCTGAAAAGGGGTAAAGAGAAGGAAAAAAGTGAAGGCAAGGCCCAGACTGAAGTGGATGAGCAGAAACCGGATGAAACTGAGGCAACAACTTCACATGCTTTCAATCAGACTGCATCGCCATCGGGGATCGAAGTTGATTCTCAGGTTCCTCAGTCGCCCACTCAACCAGAGGCAGCAGGTCCTTCTGAAGAAGCTGAAGGTGTGGCAGAAAAGAAGAGGGATGGAATCACTCCATGGTCATCATTCAAGAAGCTTGTGAAACCGAGGAGACGGACCAAACATAATTCTGAGAGTGACAAGGAGGAAGAACCAGGGGAGGCTGGCAAGACGACAACAATGTCTTCCACAACTAGTGGAGTATCTGGAGGAAAAGAGGACTCTCTGAACTCTGAAGTAGATGAACACGTCAAAGAAGGAGGAAAGAAGAAGACTGAGCATTTGGGTCCAAATTGGGAAGCTCTGATCTGCATCGGCTCCTCCAAGAAGCGAGGACGTAAATCCTCAGATTCGGACTCTTCCCTGCAAGATTTGCAAAAGCAAAAAGATGATGCACCGGCACAAGGAGATTCCAAACCTGAATCTGCAACTGAACACGATCAGCAATTTGAGGACATAAACCTGGAGGTTGTATCCAAGACTGTGACCAATAAGGAAGAGCTACCTGAAAAGGACGAGGTCCAGTCTGAACAACCTAAAGCTGAGGTTGCTGAAGCACCAAAGAACACGGTGAATTGGGGTTCCCTAAAGCGTCTTGTAACGCCAAAGAAGAGAAATAAATCCAAAGATCATGATGCACAGCAGGGTGAAAAGGAAGATGCAGAAAATCTAGAAAATGAGAATGGGGAATTGCAGAAAACGACCATCCATGAAGAGAATAGCAGTCCTCCATCGAACTCTACTTCCCAGCATCAGGAATCCAGCCATGGTGGCACCCATTCAACCTGGTCTCTCAAGAGGTTTATTCCAGGAAAGAAGAGGAAGTCTACAAAGGTTTTGGCTGACGATGTAGAAAGTGCCACTCAGGCGGCAGAGGTGAAGGGCAATGACAGCGACACTGACACACCGGGTGTGGTGCCACTGGCTGAATACGACGATGAGGAACAGCCGCAAGTTAAAGTGACAGATGCAGCTGCCAATAGTGGTGAAGCTTTGAGTTGTGTGCAAATTGGGGCTCTAAGTGACAAAGCAGCAGACTGTGCCAATGTCCAGGAAACGGTCACAGAAGCAATGGTGGATGTTGGTGTAGATGACAATGACGCTAATGTTGAGGTGGGAGCGGGCAAAGTCGACTGCACAGTTTTGCAGACGGACGTTTTAAAAATATTAGAAATGGATGAGAAGTCTAATTCAAGAGCCCCTGAGGTGGTCGATGCAGAGCAGAGAGAGTCTGTGTGTGCTGAGGAAAGTATCGTGATGGCTTCAAAAACTGTGACCAAAAATACAACAGAAAATGTAGCCTCGACGATGCAACTAACAAATACTTCGGATTTAGTTGTCAGTTGCAGTTCCGAAGTATCGACCACGAATAATGCTGTGTCTTCTGTAACTTGCAGTATCTCGGAGGAAATCTCAAACGATTCGCAAACCGTGATTTCCCAAACCCTGGAAGTGACTGAAACTTCAACCTTTACATCAGTTGTGTCTGAGGAGATGGTTGTGTTCACCAGCAGTTCAATCCAAGCCCCTCTAGAGTTGCTGGACACGGTGGAGTCCTTGAATGAGGAACAGAAAAGTGTAGAAGAGCTACCAAGCAATGTCGTAGTACAGCAGCCAGTGGTGATGCAACTACCAGTACAAGCAGTTGAACCAGAGCAGGCAAGCGACGTTGAACAATCGCAGGTTTCATCTATGCAAAATGTGGTAGAACGGCCAACTCAGGATAGCCATGGTGACGTGTCCTCCGATGCGTTTGTTGCTCATCAGCTGGAACAAATCCCAGAGGATGCTAATGAGTTTTCGCAGGAAGAAAAGAAAGGGGAAATAATGGTTGAAGCAGCGGCACATGCTGGCGGCGCTGGCGATGATATTGCTATGTTGATACAGAAGGCTGTGAGAGCCGTAGTGGGTGGAGCAGAGATTGAAGCACAGTGTGAGGAGCTTAAGCAAGGGCTTTCGGAGACTGAAACGCCACCATGTGACTATGCAACAGCTGCTGCATCCGTTGTGGAGGCAGCAATTGAAGCTGCCACAGCTTTTGTGAAGGAGCAAACGAATGTTTATGAAGCTGAAGATGGTGCAGCAGTGGAAGTTGATTTGCACGAAGATGAAAGCCACCCTTTGCCAGAGGCGGATGTTCAATCTGATGTGATTTCAACGGAATCTGCACAGGTCGATGCTTCTCAAGGAGCATCGCAAGAGGTGAAGGGTACAGGTCCGTTGGAAAGTAAGGAAGTGGGTACTGATGAAAAAGTGCAGAACCTTTCAGATGGTCATCAGAATGACGCTGAGGCCCTGCAAGAGGAACCGGAAATTGCATCTGAGAGAGTAACCGATGGCAAAGAGCAAGTAGTGCAGAGTGTGGAAAATGGGTTTGCTACCACACTCGCTGAAGAGGTGCAGAAAGATTTAGGTCGAGATGGTGAAAGTGTCACTGAAGTTGTTGCCTCTGGAGAAGAGTGTGGTGATTTCCAGGAGGAGAATGATAAAGCTGCTGTAGATGAACATGAGCAAGTCATTAATGAAACCATTGCCTGTGAACGGGAAGTACTGGAAAATTCTGTAAATGCCAATGCTAATAAAGATTCCATGGATGAAGTGGCTCCTCTAAAACAAGAGGCATCTCTGTGTAATTCGATAACTGGGGGTGTTGTCGAGTTTGGAGAAGATGCAGTGATAATTGATGGAAATGTGAACCCCCCAGAAGAGCTATTTGAGGAACTTTCCAAGCAGACGAATGTGGTGGAAACCATCCAAGAGAAGCTGTCCATGAAGTTGGCATCGTTTGACGGCGAAGAAATACATCCGGCTGAGCCTACGGTGCTAGCATCGCAGACACCTGCCCAGGAAACGACAGAGGCAGCTGAGCCTACTGGTGCTCTTTAACAGGTAATATTATTTCCAACAAACGCGTACAAAACTTCAAATTTATTCACAATTTCTTGGATTCAATTTATAGACACGTTCCCTATTTTTAAAATAAAATGGTGCAGTTTCCACATCTGTGCTTGTACTGTAAAGTGTAAATGCGAATAATTTAGCTCTTAACCACTCGACATTTGTTTCAGGTCCTCGAGGTTGAGTCATTTGCCATAGCCACATTTCTTAAATTCCATAATGAAGTTATGCTATGCAACTCGTTTTCATGGTTTTTCGTCCTGAACTTTGGTTTGTAAGATTACCTTTGGTGGTAATTTATGATTTCTAGTAAGTTGCATAACATACATTTTATGGTTGTGCATGCTTGTTTCTGCATCGTAAAAAAACAATAGTTGGACTTTATAGTACATAACCAATGCATTTTTTTTCACATCTGATTTGGCACCATCGATAACGATAGCTGTTCATCAATACAAAGTGAAATATCGAGACTGCAAAAGTACGTCTGATAAAAGTAATGAATCTGCTGGTGACACTTATTGTTTGACCATCCTACCCCTGTCACATGTGCCTTGATTCCTGGCTCAAGCAAACCCCCTCGTGGGAATCTTTAATGCGGCGAAAGGGGATGTGGGTTGCATCAGCCAGGCATCAACTCTTGGCATGTACGCACGTTTCCCACGTGGGAAGCGTTTAATGGAAATGTTACTTTTTTCATCTTTCTGTTTTCTTAAACCTTTTATGAGGTCCTGTTTTTGGTAAGAGCACTGAACCTCAAGCCCAGTAGAGTACGTTATGGATTTGTGGACGGTACGAGCATAGTACGGTGGTTAATTTTACCCATTCACCTCCCACTTTGTTTTATCAAAAGGCTAGCTCGCTTGTACCCACTGGCGTCCATCTGTCATCGATTTACAATTAAACCAAGCCTGAGTTCATGGCTTCGAGCCATGAAATGTGTATTGGCCACCAAACTTAATGAAAGGTTCAACTCTCTGCATATACTGAGATGGTGGCTACTTGGATAAAGTAGTGGCGTTTATTTACATGGCTACACTGCCACCCAGTGGAGAGTATGTGAGTTTTAATGTGCAACTGACGTCGTCTTTGCAGGTTGAAAATAGCCAGGGAAGAGGATGGACCTGGTCTCCTGGAGTGCTGCCCCACGTCCTCAATCCATCCCTCAAATGTTCACCGCAGCGACACCATTGCACCTCACCCCTCAACCACCTACCTTTTTGGGAATAGAATTGTCTAGAAAGGCCAGATATTGAAAATTGTTTCTAAACCCCAGTGATTTATATTTAATGGAGACTTTTAAAGCTTGTCTTAATGTTAAAACGGGCTTTTTTGCATTTGGCTCAGTACAACGGTTTCAGACTTTAAATCTAGTTTTACATTTTTAAAAACTAATTATCCAGAGATGTCTTTTTGTATATTGTATTAAAACATATTAAAGTTTTGTATGTATTGTAAGTTTAACGTTTTTAGTACAGTACTGCATTGCATACCTGCTTTTACATTTTTTAGTTTAAGGACTTTCCCAGCGTCGAAGATGTCCTTGCATAACCTGTATAACATACAGCGTATACACGTATATCTTGTATGTCTATCTTGCACCTATTGCTGCAGTGCTAAAATAATAGCGGCGAGTAGTATATTCTGACCTATATCTAAATTTATACGCGTAAAATAAAAAGCGCCCCAAAATTTAATGCACAAGTACAGTAGAAGGCTAAAAGACTGATGGCTGGTGTTAGATGATTTTTTTTTAATAAAGCTTAATTTTAAGTAAGGGCGGGGAGCCAATTGTTTGCAGTTGGTGGCTTGTTTGCTGGCAGCTAATGGGTGTATTTTGCATTCTCTCTGACGTTCTAAAAACGCTTATTGTAGCTCATCGGGAATACTTTTGTTTTCAAATGCAGCCCAGTTACTAATTAGTCGGTGCGTTCTGGTTTCGCTTAGGTTTTTGCCTCGCTGGCTGTATTCTCACTAAATATTAATGGCCTAATTGTCAAGTTTTATATTTTTCACTGCATTTGTATCCTTAATATATTTAAATTCTACTGGAACTGAAGCAATGCGCCTTTGTATCGTCTATTTGAACCGTTTCAGAAAACATTCTCGATTTTCTCAACCCACTAACACCTGCTGTTTAATCCGGCTGTGGTATTGTTTTTGTTACCAATATTTGTTATTGTTTTTGTAATAAATAATTAACCATTAATTGGTATTTCCTGGTCACATTTGTCATCTACATCCTGGTCCCGGTTTCCCCATGCATGGGTTTCGAGCTCTTTGCCCGAGTTTTTTTGTATCCTAATGATATACAATTCCAATTAATTTGTAACGTAGAATCCAGTTTAGCCAGTTGCCCAGCTAGTTTACGAGGAAGTTCGTCGTGGATTGGCGCACAACATAATCAATGGCATTCAAACGGAAGAGATGGGCAAACCACATCGAAACGACGCGTCGGAGGTACGGGCGCAAAGAAACCGAAGAACACCGCCAAGGAGACGAGGCAATTGATGGGCACCAGGTGTGAACCGCGGTTGGGCGAATAAAGCAAAGTTTAAACGCGTTGGGTGCAAGTGCAGCTGATCTGCATTACCTATTCAACCCCTTATTAGTGCCTTCCTTATTTCGGACCAATTTAGACCTTATTGGTCCCCCCGTGCCTTTTGCTAAATCTCAGTCTCATAAGGTAAAAACGGACAAAGTTGCCCTTATTGAAACGGCTGTGTACGGCGTGATGGAGCCGAGAACTCAATTTCTCTCTACAATAATACGGGTAAACCGATATGGTTTAACCAGATATGGCATTCTGATCTCGGGCGTTTTGATTTAATTTAACCAGCGGCTTCGTTTTACGAGGGCGACCACCATCCTCGCTTGCAGCATCAAGGTACAGCAGCTTCATTGTGTTGGGATGCTTTTGCCGCTGGTGGCGTGCGTTCAGGTGTGCGCCCAGGTTTGCGCACCTCACCTGGGAGCACCTCTCGGCCACACGGGGTCACATTAAACTTACACCCCCCCCCTCTCACAGGTGAATCCAATCGCCCTCGTTGCTTCGCTTTGTCACTTGCTTGGCTCTGGGCGGGTTCCCCAGGCTCCCCTTCACTCGTCCGAGTGAGCGGAATGGTGTGGTGTATGGTAAACATCAACTGGGGGAGACAAAGGCAGCCGGGCGTGGTGCTGGCCACACTAATAAAGCACACGTGTGTCCACACGGCCACAGCTACAAATTAACATTGCACACACGTGTACACAAATTAGCAATTCGGGACATCCACCGTGCCAGGCTGAGTGCGAATCGCCACTAAGTGACGGTGACGTCCCTACAGCACCTGTGCCAGGCTAGGTGCACGGAGGCCGCGTGAATTTATTGAGGGCTCGCTGATAAGTAACGGGTCACACCCAGGTGCCATGCGTTGACCGACGAAGATGACTGCCAGAGGCACAACCTGCACTCGTGCGCCAGCTTGCTGCGTTTTAACCGCCAGGCTCGTTGTTGTGAGCGTCGCTCCTCTTGTTTTTTTTTTGGTTGAGGGCGACTTGCCTCTGACTGCCCAGTGAGCGTCCTTCATGATCCTCCTCCAAAGAGGGATGATCTTGAAACCGCTGGTACCAGTCGTCGGTAGGTCCACTGGGCTCTTAATCTTTTTTCATTACACGCTTTTATTTAACTCACTCTGTTGTTGTTGTCGTATCCTCAAATCTTGTAACTCAATTTTAACCCACTTCCCAATGTGGTGTCGACTGCAAACTTGGTATACTGATGACAATACCATATTCTATCAAAAAATAAATGTAAAAACATTTCAACGATCTTTTTATTTTATAACCGCATCAAGTCAAATCTCATTATTACACGCTATTATTTAACTCACGCTGTCTGTTGTCGTATTCTCAAAAAAATATTGTAATTACATTTTTACCCACTTCCCAATGTGCTATCGACTGCAGACTGCAAACTTGGTATACTTATGTCATACTGATGACAAGACTATATTCTATCATAAAACTAAAACATTTAAAAAGATTATTTTACACGCTTTTGAACACAGTCCTGCGGAGGGAGCTGGTAGGAACTTTGGGTTGCTCGGTCAATGGCCAGGGTCAACGGCGACGTGGTGTATTCCGCAAATATGCCCGACTGTGAGGGCGGGCACAAGCCGGCGTGAGTAGGTTAAACGTTGAGTTTTATAAGGGCACCACGGGGTGACCAGCCCCTCCCCACCCAGTTCCTCCCCACCCCCATCCAGCCCCACCCTCCCCACCCAGCCCCACCCTCCCCACCCAGCCCCTCCCCACCCAGCCCCTCCCCACCCAGCCCCTCCCCACCCTCCCCACCCAGCCCCTCCCCACCCTCCCCTCTCCACCCAGCCCCACCCCTCCCATTTTTGGATGCACGACGGACGGACATAATAATCCCCTGTGGGCTGGTGGAACCAGGTGGTTCCTACCAGTGTAGAGGAGTAGTGGAGAGTGGTGGCGTCGTGTGCGCTGTCAGGTGCGGTGACCTCACGGGACGTGGGGTCGCACGCGCTGGGCAGTGCACGCGACATCACCCCTCCGAGGGTATATAAGGGAGACCCCGTAACGTAAGCGGGGTCACTGGAGGAACGGGGATAGTGGAAGGGGTAAAGAGGGAACCAGGGATAGTGATAAGTGTTAATAAACCCTGGCGGAAGCCCCTAACTCAACCTCCGTCTCCGAGTACCTCCGTCTACGATACAACAACTGGTGTCAGAAGTTTACACCGTCGCCAACATGTATAAAGCGGGCGCACGGCGTAGGAACCCACCGGCACATGACTTGGAGGGCGCCGAAGGCGGAGAGGAGGCTCCAGCAGTGACCCCGGAGCCCGGGACCCCGGTGACGGTTCCCGTGGAGACGAGCGGGCCGGAGCGGGAGGAGTCGGCTGCGGGGAGTGCCAGCTCACCGCCGCCGCCAGAGACGGAGAGCGTCCCCGCAGCTCTGCTGCAGCAGCTCCTGCAGGCGGTGGGGCAGCTGACAGCCAGGTTGGCCAAGGTGGAGGCGCGGACGCAGCCAACCGCCCCGCACGCGGGACGGGAGCAACTGTCAACTGCCAACGTTGAAAGCGCCGCAGTTTTCCCAGCGACCGCTCCACCGGAAATGGCCGCCATGTTGGCTGCGACTCAATTCGCGGCGGCCATGTTGGCTCGGGAGCCATATGCGGCCGCTGCTACGGCTGCCATGGCGACCGCGACGCCGCGTCTCTCCACCGACGCGGCCGGGATTTCTCGGCACGCCGCTCCTGCGAGACCAGCCGCCGGCGACGACGCGGCTCTACATCAAGCGGCGCCCGCCGGGGGGGCCCAGGGTAAGTACGCGCGTGCCGTCCTCGCCGGGCCGCCGGGGTGGGCAGCGGCGGCTGCTGCTGCCCCGTACATCGCTGTGCCGCCGGAATGGGCCGCGGGTGCTGCCGCGGCTCAACCTGTCGCTGCGCTCACGGGGCCGGACACCGGCGATGCCGCGGCTCTGCACCTCGCCGTGCCTGCGTCCCTTCTCATGGATGACGCCGCAGCTGCGTGTTATTCTGCCGCGTCTTCGGCGTGGCCCATGGAGGCTGCAACGCCGTGGCGCCTCGCCGCGTCGCGAGAGGTTGCCGCGGCTGCGGCCGCTGTCCCGCACCTCGCTGCGCCGGCGGGGAGGGCCGCGGGGGCCACCGCGGCTCCGTGTTTTACCGCCGCGTCTACGGCGTGGCCCGGGGAGGCCGCAACGCCGTGGTGCCTCGCCGCATCGCGAGAGGTTGCCGCGGCTGCGGCCGCTGTCCCGCACCTCGCTGCGCCGGCGGGGTGGGCCGCGGGGGCCGCTGCAGGCCCGAATTACACCGCCGCGTCTTCGGCGTGGCCCGTTGAGGCTGCAACGCCGTGGTCCCTCGCCGCGTCGCGGGACGACGCCGTGGCTTCGTACGCCGCCGCTGACCGGTGGGTCGCGAAAGCGCAGGCGCCTTCACACTTTGCTGCGTCTACGGCGTGGCCCATGGGGGCCGCAACTCAGCCACAATTCGCTGCGCCTACGGCGTGGCCCATGGGGGCCGCAACTCAGCCACAATTCGCTGCGCCTACGGCGTGGCCCAAGGGGGCCGCAACTCAGCCACAATTCGCTGCGCCTACGGAGTGGCCCATGGGGGCCGCAACTCAGCCACAATTCGCTGCGCCTATGGCGTGGCCCATGGGGGCCGCAACTCAGCCACAATTCGCTGCGCCTACGGCGTGGCCCATGGGGGCCGCAACTCAGCCACAATTCGCTGCGCCTACGGCGTGGCCCATGGGGGCCGCAACTCAGCCACAATTCGCTGCGCCTACGGCGTGGCCCATGGGGGCCGCAGCACCACCGCACCTTTCCGCGTCTTCGGCGTGGCCCGCGGGAGCCGCAATGCTGCCACCGCCGCAACACGTCGCGTCCGCTGGGTGGCCCGCAGGTGCCGCTTGGCTTCCACACCTCGCGGCGCCGCGCGGCCAATGGCAGCGCAGGTTACCCGACGTTGCGCCGTTTGTCGCGCAAGGGGGCGACTGGTCGGCCTTCCAGGACCGGTTCGACGCGGCATACATGTCGGTCGGCTGGTCCATGGAGGAGGCCTTGCCGGCGCTTCCGACCTGCTTGGACGAAAGGGCTCTGCAGGCCTTCAAGTCCATCCATCCGGCCAATCGGGCTACACTCCCGGCGGCCTATATCCAAATGGCCAACGTTTTTGAGCCGCCGTCCACCGCGCAGCTAAAGTTTTCATTGCGGCGGCGGGAGGAGGGGGAACTGCCGCTGGCCTTCCGCTGCTCGCTCCTGGCCCTGGCGCAGGCTGCATACCCTGACCTGTACGGCAGGGCACTTGATTCTATGGCCTTGGGGAAGCTGCTTGACCTGGCAAGGGAGCTAGGAATTGCTCTGTCGATCAACAATGATCGGCAGATCACATCCTTGGCGGTCGCAGAAAACATTCAGGCGCACCTCTCCCTCCGCCAACGGCCTCAGATGGCGGCGTGTGCGGGGATCCTGGCGCCGGACGGGGGGGACACCCTCGCGGCCCTGGCGATGCCCGATCGTCGAGGAAGGGGGACGGGTGGTCGCCGTCCGGAGCAGCGGGGGCGGCCGGGACCTTCCCGTCCACAGGAGGCGGACACGGTGGCCTGCTTCCGCTGTGGTCAGCGGGGCCACATTGAGCGGGGCTGCCGGAATGCCCCGGGGGCCTTTGGAAAAGGGACT